TCTAATCTTGCCTTTGTCAAAATGCTTGGTAGACACCGAATCCACAGATGACATCCAACCAGTAAGAACAAACTTCTGTAAATATTGTAAATGATAAATAACCATGGCGATTGCTAAAGTTAAACATATACATCGAAACCAATTCCTGAAGGTAGCAATTTCTACTCGTCGATACATCTTTGATCTAGCTGCACCCTGCGCTACAAACATGGGATCATTAAAGCATTGTCACTGGGAATAATTGTGTAAGTCTGTGTGTTATCATTATCAGCAACACTATTTTAATCTAAACGCTGCGCATGTGCAGAACTATACCATACAATCCCGGGGGGATATTAATAGCAGCGGTCTGACGATTGTTATATTGAAATAAATGTACATTACAAATTGACAACACAGTAGCTTGTAATATATAAGATAAGTGTACCTTTTATCAAACATCGAGACTTGTATACATTGTTCCAGTGGTTATTAAACTACTTTTAAAACCAGTGAGTTAGGTATAGCCATATGTTTCACGTGGAATGACGACCCATTCGCCGCTAGTTAGCCATCTACCAACAAATTAAGGACCGCACTATAAGAATATCCATATGTCATATGTCATATGGTATTGAATCAATTACGTTAATAAATAATTATATTTTGTCGACAATATGGGTATGACTATTTAGGGTCAATATCTCGTTTAGATATTGTTTGTTGTGGTCAATATCTCGTTTGCATATTGTTTGTTGTGGTCAATATCTCGTTTGGATATCGCTGGTTGTGGTCAATATCTCGTTTTGATATTGCTTGTTGTGGTCGATATCTCATTTGGATATCGTTGGCTGTGGACAATATCTCGTTTTGATAGTGCTTGTTGTGGTCAATATCTCGTTTTGATATTGCTTGTTGTTGTCAATATCTCGTTTTGATATTGCCTGTTGTGGTCAATATCTCGTTTTGATATTGCTTGTTGTTGTCAATATCTCGTTTTGATATTGCTTGTTGTGGTCAATATCTCGCCTGGTTATCATTGGTTATAGCAATGATGACAATGGTGATATAAAGCAGATCTTGATGATTTATGTTTTTTAGATGATGATCTAACGACCCGGATGGTTTCATACACTGATCAATATTTCACTGTTTGATAATATTATTCCGTTAACGTTTTTCCCTGTTGTTGGGTTGGGGAACTTTCAATACATGTTACTACTGCTAAACATTCCATATGTTGGAGTTGTTTAACTTGCCATCTGTTTGTTTGTAAACTAATTAGACGCAAATTAATTTGCGGTGTGATAAATAATGATATATAATTACATACCAGTTCCATATGTTATGCGAATAACCACTGTTAACGTGTCACGAGTATGGTAGAAAATAGAAAGAATGAATGATTGATTGGTAGACAAACAGATTGTCAGTTAATTATGTTCTTGTATTTTGTTTTTTTTCGATTGTTGTCAGTCATTTGTTTCAGGGAATTTAGCTATTTTCACAAATACGTAAAAATCTGCTAAATTAAATACATTGTACATGTAATAGAATTCTTTGTTTCACTGGCATTTCGATAACCGTATACTCAATTTTGTTCAGTTCTAAGATTAACGTGCGTGTATAACGTCAAAAATAAAAACCCAAATTAAATTTGAGTGGCCACATTAAGGTACACAAGACAGTACACTATGAGATATACTTATGCATACTAATTATAGAGATTCGAATATTTCTGGTAGTTTCAGAAAAGAGGGTTCAAATTCACCCGAACACGGTAGACATTGTCACAGATCCGAGGATTGGCTAAGCACGCGGGAGCACACAATGAATGGTGATGACAAAGTGCATACAGTTAACTAAGCTATTTTATTCTCTAGACCTCATCAACAGATATTCATACTCAGAAATTAACATGAAATTAGCATGAAACTAGTGCACAAGAACTTATCACTAATAAATCACGTTAATCGACAAATCAACGACTTCAATCTATTATCCATTTATGCGAAATACAACAATATGCTTAATACATAGTTACGTAAAACTAAATTGAGCCATACAAGGCCTTCGGGTCAGGAATTAAGCAAAGCAAAACTTTGATAAAGTTTACAGTATTAGTGTTCTATTGTAGTCCTGCAGTGTTCTGTTACGCTCCTCAAATCTTGGCATCGACATACTTCAGCTAC